GGGGTGGTACCTGTGGTGGCCCTGTCCCACTCTGCGGCCAGTGACCACCTGCTGTGCCAGTCCTGGGCCTGTTGCCCTGAGATCAGTTCTTTGCCTTTACTGTGCATTGCGGAGGGCCGACCTTGGCAGAGGGTGTCTCCTGGGCTCCCCTGTCCTTGGTTTTGCCTTTTGGCTGATTTTCTTACTTCGATCCTCACTAATATCACCATACTGTGTCTTTCCCTCTTTGGTTTAACCTAGCCATTTGTAAAATGGAATTCTGGCCCTTATTTCTATGGCTTCCAGCTGGAGGAAGACTGGACATGGGAGATGGGGGGCATCTCCAGCGGTGGCTGTTTCTCTAGGGTTCCTGAAGGCCCTCCAGGTTCCAGCTTCCAACAGGACACCTAGCTCAGGCCCTGGCAATGCCACTTTTCTCCCTTCTATTTGAGGGCTTCCTGCTTTGCTAACATCAGGGTTACCTCACAGTGGCCTATTTGGCTTCTCAGCTCTTCTGCCGCTTGTAAAGCCACTTCCCAACATTAAATCCACTCTGTGGAAAATACTCTGAGTGGCTTCCATCTTCCTGCTTGCACTTGACCGCTACCCTCTCCCTGGTATATTTATCTTCGCTCAGATGGGGCAGTTCCTCAATGCTAAATGTTTTATTGTTACAAAGTTGCTTTTTAAAAAGTTAATTCAGCCCAAGCATGATGCATGGTGCTAATGTGTAATCTCAGTAGGTCGTGATGAATATTTCTTGCTGGAAATTCCTAAGATCGGGTCGTGATGAATATTTCTTGCTGGGAATTCCTAAGATCAAGTCTGACACCTGGGACCTACAAGGGCTTAGATGCACTTTTCTTAATGGCTTGTAAAGCCACTTCCCAACATTAAATCCACTCTGTGGAAAATACTCTGAGTGGCTTCCGTCTTCCTGCTTGCACTTGACTGCTACCCTCTCCCTGGTATATTTATCTTCGCTCAGATGGGGCAGTTCCTCAATGCTAAATGTTTTGTTGTTACAAAGTTGCTTTTTTAAAAGTTAATTCAGACCAAGCATGATGCATGGTGCTAATGTGTAATCTCAGTAGGTCGTGATGAATACTTCTTGCTGGAAATTCCTAAGATCAAGTCTGACACCTGGGACCTACAAGGGCTTAGATGCACTTTTCTTAATGCACTTGAATCAAACAGAACACAAATTCTTCCAAAGGGTGAGCCAAGATGTCTGTGGAAGAAAACTGCAGGTGGGATGGGGTAATTGTACCTGCAGTATAGACACTGGAGTGAGATAGACCTGGATTCAACTTTCAGCAATTCCAGTTAGCTGTGTGAGCTCAGGCAAGTCCCTGCATGTCTCTGGCCCTTAGCTTTCTCAGAAAAATGGGAATAATGATATAATAAGTAGATAGCACTTATAAAGGNAATTCCTAAGATCAAGTCTGACACCTGGGACCTACAAGGGCTTAGATGCACTTTTCTTAATGCACTTGAATCAAACAGAACACAAATTCTTCCAAAGGGTGTGCCAAGATGTCTGTGGAAGAAAACTGCAGGTGGGATGGGGTAATTGTACCTGCAGTATAGACACTGGAGTGAGATAGACCTGGATTCAACTTTCAGCAATTCCAGTTAGCTGTGTGAGCTCAGGCAAGTCCCTGCATGTCTCTGGCCCTTAGCTTTCTCAGAAAAATGGGAATAATGATATAATAAGTAGATAGCACTTATAAAGGAGCGTGGCGGACATGTGTAAACCTGCCTTGAGGGCTGGTTTTCTTACTTTGGTTCTCACTAATATCACCATGCTTTGTCTTTCCTTCTCCTGTTTAACCTGATTATTTATACAATGAAATTATTTTTTTTATTTCTCTATAACGCAGCTAAGGTGAAATTCTCAAAAGGAGCTTTACTTGAAAGCCAAGTGAAACCAAAATGAAAATAAATCAGCAGGTACAAAAGCAGTAAAGTCACACTCATAATGTAGGGGTCCCTGAACAGGCACTGGCCAGTGACTGTTTCCCAGGGACCTGGACTGCCTGTCACAAATGCTCTCTGTCTCACCACATATGGCTGCTAGGCACCAGTGTAGTCCTTAGAACACAGGATATTGCTTAACTGAATATAGTGTCCCTTTCAAAGACAAATTCCTGTTCCCTCAAAATAAAACTTTCCCTGCTTTCTCCTACATGTGTTCCTTGAGGTTTTATTTAAATCAAGGGACATCACGCCTCAGAGCTTCCAATCATGGTGTTGCCCCTAAACCTAAAATCTTTGAGACAGGGAAGGTTCTGAGAATGCTGCCTTTCGACAGATTAGACAGCCTCTTGGTCCTAGAACTGGTACTAGGATTATCTGGCTAATAGACAGTCTTGTGTATATCTACCCCTTTAGAAGTTGCAAGTCAAAGGGAAAGCTCCAGTTGAAGCTTGGTGCTCCCTCTGCTTTAGTAATACTTTCTTTTCAGGCTTCCAAGGAGCCAAAAAGGGAGCTGTCTAACAAAATCAACTAACCTAGGGACCACTTATTCTTGTTAGAATTGTTAAAATATAGCCATTTCTGTTGACGCAAATAAAAAGATGTAATCTTCAAATAAGGTTTTCTTGCTCCTACCAAAGAATAAACATTTGTCAGCAATCCTCAAGCATGGGCACCTTCTTGACCTCCATCTCAGCCAGGCTCGCAAACACCACTGCCAAGGAAAGTAGATTTTTCACAGGAAAGAAAAAGTGACCTCAGAAGTGAATCCCACATCTTTCTGCTCTAGACCACATATATCTGCATCTCTTACCTCCAAGACAGGAGGAAGAAATGGGTTTCTAATATTGTCTTTGAGAATAACCAGAGGCTTTTACCATTTGAGTACTAACAGGCACACTCCTAGATATATAAACCAACCTGTGTAATGTAAAGAAGTGGGAGGCATGAGAACTGGGAACTCACAACTTGGAAATAGGCAGCACGTTTTAACTGCAGGCCCTGATGCATGAGGGTCTGGCACTTTTGAACATTTTCCCAGGTGATCTGGCATCATAGAATTTTCCATGTCTTACTTGAGGTGTTGCAGGATTCCATGAGCTTATGGTCTCTCTATCCTCAACAGTTCTGCCATAAGGGAGCACAGGCAGGCCATGTTAGGGGCAAAGTCAGTCTCGGTTTAATCCTACTATTGAACTGGACAAGATTGACATTCCTTGCTCTATCCTGGTTGTAGACAATATGCTGCTAAATTACTATAATATTACTTGACACCTGTGCTCCAGTGATTTCAAGAGTGGGGAAAAGGTCTACTAGATGCCAGCAAGGTATGAAAATGTTTAAATAAGTTTGGTGAGATTTCAGCCATTCTAGGTACATCTGTATCTCATCTGTGCTGTTTTTAAAGCTTAGTATTCTTTACTCTTTTTCCTTAATTCTATTGTAATAGGAAAAGTTCAACTCACCTGAAATTTATTGTTAATTAAAAGGAAGGCATATGTTTATACATGTACATTTGTATTTAGGAACATAAAATATTTTAAATTAGCATTGACCTTTATTTCCTCCATTTATTATACTTTTTAAATTAGGACTAGAGGAAAAAACTATCAATTTATTTTCACTGTAATGGCTTCTATTTGCAAAAAGTAGGGTTTTTAGTATAAAGCATAATAATCTCTGTATTAGTTTTCTATGACTGCTGTAACAAAGTACCACAGACTTAGTGGCTCAAAAAACACAAACTAGTAATCTGATAGTGCTGTAGTTTAGAAGTATGAAATGGTTCTCACTAGGCTAATATCAAGGTGTCAGCATTCCTTCTGGAGTCTCTAGGGGAAATCTTTTCTTTTTTTTTTTTCCTTTTCCATCTTCTAGAGGCTGCCCTCATTCCTTGGATGTTATCCCATATTCAAAGCCAGCCAAAGTGGGCCATGTTCTACTATCTGCGTGGCTCTGATTCTTCTGCTTCTTTTTTCCATCTTTTAAGCACTCTGATTATTGTATTGGGCCCACCTAGAAACACCAAGACAATCTTCCTGATCTGATCCCTAACTTTATCACATCCACAGAGTCCTTTTTTCCATATAACCTAATATATTAACAGGTCCTGGGGATAAGGACATGAACATTGGGGGGATGGGGGGTGCCTTATTCCGCCTACCACAGTCTCATAAGAAGTAAACCTACCATCTTTTCTTTCCTTCTGGAAGTGGCATAAACAGCATTGTATTGGTGGTTCTACCACCATATTTGATTGAGTTTATCTTTCTCCTCCCTTTGGAAATGTCATTACTAGATATTTCAGAGCAAGAGAGTGAAGGGGTTTTAGAAGACAAGGGGGCTCAACTGTGTAGCTGTGTAGCAAGTAAATTCCCTGGGGTCAGATTCATCCCTTCCATTTGAAGAATGTGGATAATCGTATGAGCTTTCTCTAGATCCCAGAGCTGATCTGACAGTCACAGAATCCTGAAAACTTTACACTACTTTGTAAAAGAAAGAAAAGTGTTCTAGCTTCCTTGGTGGGCTCTAGGAAATTGAGTGCATGGAACTACTAAGAAGTCTCATTTAAAAATTAAAACATTTTTTCTGAAAATAGAAATGGCTAAAAAGAATCTTAACTACATGAGAGAGAATGAAATAGCTCATTTCCATCTTAAATCAATACTTTATCCCTATCCCTGGAGATAGCTCATTTTAATCTCTGTTTATGTTTATCTTGTTTTGCTTTTTCCTCTGCTCTGATGTTTGTTATGCTTTGAATGGATATTTATTCCCTTCTCATTAAGCCTACAAACATCTAATCATTCCTATCTGTTTGTTTTTTTCATTTTTAATAATTTATATTTAGATGTTGGCAAACTGAAAGACCTAATTTTGCCCTTTGAATGCCTATGCATTCAAGTTCTTTAGGCATATTTTATTACTTGTTTTTTAAATTCTGTTTTAAGTTTTATAAAAATGGGTATTTCTTATTATCCCTCAACCCATAATTTTCTTTAGTGAACTTTTTGTTTAATTTTCTTTTGCTTTAACATTTTATTTTTCAGACACCTCTCATTGAACCTCACGTTCCTCTTCGTCCTGCTAACACCATTACCAAGGTAATGGGACGTAGGTGGGTTGATGAGCCATCCGAGCTAGCTTCTTAGTACCACTGGAGGTGGTCCGGATGTCAGAACATCACATCAGGAAACCTCTAATACATTTTCTAGAGACAGTAAATATTCAGTGCATCTTAGTTTTCAACATAAAACAGTGACATGTCACACAAGTGCACAATGTAATGTATAAGCAAGTAGTTAGTTTTTCAAACCAGAGTCAGATTGGAAAGTGATTTATGGATTCATTCAGTTTGTTTTCCTTCTATTAACTCCCCTTCTTTCTCCTCCCCTCCTTCTACCTGATTAAAATCCAGGTTCCTTCAGAGAAGATCCTCAGGGCTGGAAAAATTTTACGAAATGCCATTCTCTCTCGAGCACCTCACATGATAAGAGACAGGAAATACCACCTAAAGACATACAGGTATGTGCGCTAATTCTAAAGGCTGTGGGCCCCTCAGACTCATGTTTAGTGAAAATGGAACAAACACGCTCCTCCCTGTTTTCCATCTGAAGGCAGCCCATTTTATAATGCCTCTAAGCTCCAGACAGTCTAAGCTTGTCTTGGATCCCTGCTTATTAACTGTGGATGTTTAATTATGCTTAATATTCCCAGCAGCAACTCCTAAACTAATTTGCTTGGACATTGGTTTAATTGTGATGAACAGAGAAATATCTTGTATTCTGTTTGCCAGTTTCTTTTAGGAAACCTACTAGATTTAGATCACATTCAATTAACATTTATTGAGCACTTACTTATGCTGAAAGACCTGTACCAGGCTGCTTTCTGTATATCTTACTTCTTTCTCACCACAACCCTGCTAGATAGGTGTGTGGCCATTTTTCAGATGACAAAACTGAGGCTCAGAGAGATTAAATAGTTTTCCTTGTCCAAATCACAAGTCTAGTGAGTGGCAGAGCCAGGATTTAAACCAGAGTTGGTTGATTTCCAAACTCAGTGATCTTTTCATTCATTCAATCATTCATTCATTCCACAAGTTTATTAAGCACCTACTGGCCACCAGACACTATTCTGTTCCAAGCCCTAAGGATACAGAAGTGAACAAAATATACAAAGTCCTTTATGGAGCTTGTTTTCTAATGTAGGATTTCATTCAGGTATGCACACAGTACGATACACAACTCTGTATCACATCTATAATCATATAGAGTAAGGATTCTTCATTATGGCTGTCACTGGAGTTAAGAAATGATAAAGATAATGACCAAGGCTACATAGTTAGTTGAACCTTCTGGGATGACTGAACCAGGGTGGGCTGACTAAGAATTTGGGTCTAATCCCTGACTTTTGATTCTATCAATTCACCAGGTATTTAGGAACTAGAATAACCAATATATGGCACATAAGCCTTCACTCTGTCTTCCTCAACCCATGCTTCAGATACAGCCCTCTTTCAGCAATCAGTCAGGCTCTCTTATTTAGCCTACACTTGACCTCAGAACCCACTAGCCTTGGCATGAGTCAAAACCCATATGGTTCACATGAAGCAAATTCATAAGATACAGTGAAAAACTAGAATACAATTTTAAAGTTACCCTGAAGGATGTATATATTTCAGTGACTGTGAACTATGATAGAACCTATAAAAATCATACCTGGTTCACCATATAGCAAATCTACCAAGTATATGTGCCTCAAGATCCAGTCTCTCTCTCAAGGACAGAGATGGAAAAACATTGCAAATTCTTCCTCTGGTTCACTTTTTCTACACTCTATGCAAACTAATATACTCTTTTGCTTGCATTTGGCATGAATATGTTACAACACCAAAACTGACAGTTTTTCACATTTAGATTGGCCTCTTCTTGATAAAATTTTGGAAATGAGATGGGATTTGAGGTGTACCTTAGGGTTATCAGCACATTTCTCTTGGGAGAGATGTCATCTCTAAAGATGAACTGATTTGATTCCGTGTGCTCTTTTCATCTCTAAAGACAGATGGGTTATGGAAGCTAAGAGTGTTGAAAGTGACACGTGCGTCAGACACGCGGGCAGGCAGTGGCAAGAGCTTATGGTCAGGAGGACTGTAGGAAGCGTCTGTCATGACTCTTAGGCAACAGAGGGTCGTAGTCACAATCTCAGAGGCTCTGGGTGTCAGTTTCCGTATCTCTAAAGCAAAGGGGATTTAGAAAATGTGCTCTCAATAGAGCTAATTGAAAGCTGTTGGGATCAGGACTTCTCTCTACCGTTCCATTTTGAACGTTATATCAGTATTAACATCAGAATGTATCTAAATATCCTGCCAGTGGTTGGCGAATATCTAGCCCCTTTTTTGTTGATATTTACTAGGTACTATTTTGGTTTTAGGTTTTTCTTTTTTTTCTTTTTATTTATTTATTTTTTAGCTCCCACTTAGAGGACATGCAGTATTTCTCTTTATGTGCTTGGCTTATTTCAGGTAATATAATTTTCTTCAAGCTCATCCATGTTGCTGTGTATGGCGGAATTTCATTCTTTTTCATGGCTGAGTAGTACTCCATTGTGTATATGTAGCACATTTTCCTTGTCTAGCATCTCCTGATGCACATTTCCTAGCTACTGTTTTGGCTGCTTACATTTGTAAGTCTTGTTCTCCAAACCTGGAAGTAGGTTCTTTTCAGAATCTATGACCCCTATACACTGCTATAATTTTTAAAAGTTTAAAAAAACAATCATGTGTCACATGTCCCCAGAGAGAATTCAACTTCTTTAACTCATTATGTGGATCTCAAAATCTCATATGGCTAAAGGATGTTTTTCTTTTTGAAATTTTATTATTTTTTCCTTAATTTAAGTTGTGATTATGCTTTCCCTTAAGAAAAGCATTGTCTCTGACTTGCGTTAGAGACAATCCATTGAAGTATGTCATGTTTGGTGACAAATCATGGAAACTAGAAGTCAGAAATCATAGTCTCTTTCTTGTTCCACAGTAGTAAGATTTTAAACTCCTGAAATATAGGTGTTATGTCTATTCCACACCCTATGACACAAATTAATGATCTGTTGGCAATGACCAGCAGACTCAACTGGAAGCCAGAGGCATGATTACTTTTTTCTGCTGTACAGTTTGAGTTCCTTGTCCCAGATATTGCAGTTCCCAGTTCATCCTCTCTTTCCCTCCTGCTTTTCACCCCATTATATCATTGCTGAAATATTAGGGGGTCGAAGCTTCTTCAGATGCAATATCACCCCCAATAAGTACTATTCTGGAGGTCTGCTATCAGTTCGACAGTGGCTGGGGATCATTAGTGGAAGGATACCCAGTGATTCCATCAACTACAAGTGGCACATCTGTGTGTCTTTGTTCAGTATTCTGACTGCAAGATTCTTTCACCCTTATAAGGACCCAGTTGCTCTGGGATCATCTTGATTCTGTGTGCTCTTTTAAAGAAAGGCAATCATTGAATTAAAAGCCAAGTGAAATTGATTATTTATATTTTTACAGGAGTTTTCCCATTAATAAATTCTCAAATTAGAAAAGGAATATTTTGGTAGGCCATATGTTTGGGTCAGAATGATTAGTAAGTGCTTCTTTGCCCACTGAAGCTCTAATGTGTGGGTATAGACTGTAGGAGAGCAGTTCTGGAAATGTAACGGCCTTTTCAGTACACACTCCTTGTGAAATATTCTGGGTTCAGGGTCATTACCAAATCAGGGCATCCCAAGGAGCTCTGATAGATTTCAGAGGTCCTACCATATGAGGAGGAAAAGGCCTTTTGCTTCTCCTTTCTTTTACAGATGAGGAAACTGAGAACCAGACAGTTGAAACCATACAACCAAAGTCACATGCTAATAAATAGCAGACTTGATGCTGTATCCCATGTCTCCTCCCAGTCCAAGACTCTTCCCAAAGTAACACAGCACCATGAGTCTCCTCCAATTTCAACTAGAGAGGAGCTCCCTAGGCTTGACTCAGTCTCAACCGATGCCCCAGAAGCAATGCCATCCTTAGCATGGGAGGGAGGCCACCAGCTGCAGGCAGCCAGCTGCTCTGTGACTTCTCGCCTTATTCCGTTGTCCCGTGGGATTCATCCCTAGAACTTCAAGATTCCATTTCTTCCCTTGAACTGGCGTGCCATGAACACCTGCCCTTCTCTCTCACTCCACTGAAGGTTTCAATATTTCCTAGTGTGTGCACATATAATTATGTATTTCCTAACATGTAGTTTGCCCATCCAGGCCAACTCACCACAGAGGGACATCTTAGGTATTATTGTGTGAATATACAGAAAGCCAGAAAGCATCTGGAGTTTTTCCAATGACAGGCTGTGTAGAAGTGTAATGCTCATTACACAGAACTTTTTTCAAAGAGATTTGCATCACTAATTTCTTGTTTCTCCCAACACCCTTCCAAGGAAGATCAGTAGTATTACTTGAAAATATGAAGTGCTATAAATTTTGCACTTATACAGCACCTTTCATGGAGCACCTCCAAGTGCCTCACAAACATTAACTCATTCCTCGCAAGGCTCAGGTGAAGAAAGTGAGTATTTTGCTTTGCCTTCATCTTAAACTGAGATCTTCTGGGACCGGCTCATAACAACAGTGTTTCAGTCCCTGTGATTAACTAGCCAGATAAGGCTCCTCCTCTAGTGGCCCTTCATTTTCCCTTGATGCTGCAACTTGAAATGCTCTTTCATTTAGCCAGACTTGCTTAAAAGTTTCTCTCATGAGCTGAGTGGTTTTATTGGTGTGTATGTGAATTTGAGACCCTGAACCTGAGGCTACAGCATATGGCGCTTTGATTGCCATGAGACCTCTTCTGGTGGAAGAGCACTGTGCTTGCTCTTCGGCAGGTTCTCTTCCCAGAAGCTATCTCCCGTCCTCTCTCTGCAAAGGGGTGATTTCCCCATCCTTTGTGTCCCATCTCCCCTTAGACAATGCTGTGTGGGAACCGAGCTGGTCGACTGGATGATGCAGCAGACTCCATTTGTTCATTCCCGAACCCAAGCTGTTGGCATGTGGCAAGTCCTGTTGGAAGATGGTGTTCTCAACCACGGTAAGATGAGCCACAGTCCCTGGAAAACCCTCAAGAAATGCTACGTGCATTTCCCTGGGTAAGTTGTTGCTGAACTCCCAAATGGGCAAGAAAGAATTATGATGCCTTTAGGGACCCACAGAGCTAGCATCTTCATTTAGCTATACAAATGCAGTGAGTGGCTGCTATTGATTGCTGTGTTCCACCATTGTACCTTCCTAACTTGGGAGAACGTGTGGAAGGAAAATGAAATTGCAACCCAAGTGCATCAGTTCCAATTATGTTTATTAGTTTGCATTCACGGTTCATTGATAGTGTGATTATACTCTGAGCATTGCATAGCAATCCTGATGCAGGGGCAGAATGAAGAGCAATGAAATGTGGGGCTGGGCTGATGACATGAAAGTGATGACTTCAGAAGCTGCCTTTTCACTATGGCATTGCCTGTCGGGGCCGATTTGTATACTCACAGGATGACCATATTTAAAACCAAGAATGATGGGCCAGCCTGGTGGCGCACTGCTACAGTGCGCCGCTTGGGAGCGCGGTGGCGCTCCCGCCGAGGGTTCGGATCCCACATACAGACCGGTTCCCGCTCACTGGCTGAGCGAGGGGCGGGCGCAGCACCGAGGGTTGCGATCCCATTGCCGGTCCCGGTCCGGTACGGGCGCGACACTGAGGGTTGCGGTCCGTTGCCGGACACGAAAAAAGACAAAAAAAGGGAAAAAAATAAATAAATAAAACCAAGAATGAGCTCTGCAGTTGCGGCTCCTGATAACTGCAGGAGCTATAATTGGACAGAGTAGCTATTTAGGACTGGTGTGTAAACCAGGGCCCAACTGCTCATGCCATTTGTTTAAGACCACTTTTCCGAAAAGACATAATATTAAAATCATTCATTTAGGGCCGGTCCAGTGGCACACTGGAGAATGCGCCTGAGGGTTCGGATCCCATGTGGAGACCGGTTCCCGCTCACTGGCTGAGCGCGGTGCGGGCGCAGCACCGAGGGTTGCGATCCCATTGCCAGTCAGTAAAAAAAAAGACAAAAAGGAAAAAAAAAATCATTCATTTAACTTACCAACACCTGGGAATCTAATGATGGTTTCACCAGTGTTTCTCATACTTTAATGTGCATACATATCAGCTGGGTCTCTCGTTAAAATGCAGATTGTGATTTAGCAGGTCTAGGATGGGTCCTGAAAGTGCATTTCCAACAAGCTCCCAGATGCAGCTGATGCTGCTGTTCCGGGATCACACTGAGCAGCAAGGGTCTACCTCTTCTCCCTGTCCTTTGAGAGTATGGATGCTCCATCCGGAAAAGGGGAGAAAGGTTTTAAGACATGTAGATGAGGGATTCTGAGCAGAGTTCATTGTCTTTGTCCTACCAAGATCTAAATCTTGTTTTAAAACTTTTTAAAGAGGAAAAAACTTTAAAGTCAGAACTAGAAGAAAATTACCAGAAACTTCTTCTAGAAGTATATGACCTAGAAGCTTGTCTGGTCAGATTTGTTCAAACAATTTTATTGTAACTTTCTTTTTCAAAGTGCAAAGAGAAACGTTTATAAGCAGTACGTATAGAAAGAAAAACATGAATTCTCATCCTGACAAAGTAGGGTTTTTTTATTTGTTTTCTGTATGTACTTTAAAAAAAACCATTATAGGGCATAACCTGGCCGTTGGTTATTTTCCTGTTTGGGACATAAGCGTATGTCCCACACGCTAGAAAATCTCACCCAGGTGATTTTTGCTGGTGGAAGTCTCATCTCAGGAAAGTTGGCAGGTTCTCAAAGAGAGTCCCACGGAGGCCCGGGAGACGGGTGGGTCCAGGGGGCTGCGGCCTGCGTGACTGCAGCCAGGCGGTCATGTCTTCCAGCTGCACAGCCTGGGCGAGGCTCGGAGAGAAGGGTGCGGAGTCTGCCGCCTGGCTCCACCGGGCCCTCCTGCCCCGCACTCCGCTGGTTGCCTGCGCACGGGCTGTGAGGCAGAGGAGCCACGGCTGACCCGGGCCCCATGTTTCCCGTAGTGGACCAGGAACACCATTTCCAAGACAAATATTTATTCTATCGATTTCTGGATGACGAGCACGAGGATGCCCCTCTGCCTACTGAGGAGGAGAAGAAGGAGTGTGATGAGGAGCTCCAGGACACCATGCTGTTGCTGTCACAGATGGGCCCCGACGCCCACATGAGGATGATCCTCCGCAAACCGTGAGTGACAGCGCCTGGCCCGTCCCCAGCCGCCGAGTGTGCAGGCGCCCCTGGGGGAGGCACACACGGCTGATTTCTGAAGTCCTGGCCTTCCCCCAGGGCCAAAGGACAGACACTGAAGGGGTGACACAGTAGGCTATGTGTCTGTTCTTTTTTCTTTCTTTTTTTAAAAAAAATTTTGAGCCAGATAATTTCATTTCCTATTTGCATGAGTTAAAACTATGAGCTGTTGGCCCGGTATGTCAAAACTGAGTCCCCGTATCCAACGACCTTTGGTCAATGACAAACAGAAACTGCTCTGTTTCTATGCCAGACCGTGGCGGGCCCTTTCTTCCTAATACACTAGGACAGAGGTCCATCAGAACCGTAGGCCTCATGCCTGTGCTTGCATGCATGTATGCATTCATTCATTCAGTTTATCCTTTCACCAAATTCGAAGCTTCTGCTCTTCAGCTTAAGGACCAATTCTTAGAACATCGCTGCTCCATTAACCCATTCAAGGCCTCCATTCAGCCATTGGGGGGGGGGGTCTCTTCCTTCCGTCTCAGCTGAAACACACCTTACCTTCAGTAGCAACCCAACAGCTGAAGTTGAGGACTGAAATGTTTAATCAGATCAATTCAAAAAGAATGTATTGAGCCCCTCAGATGCAGGGCGCTCTACTAATTGCTGTGGGGCATACAAAGAAATATACACCACAGTCTGATCCTAAGGGAAACCTTTCCAATAAGGGGTGACTTGGTACCTGGTTCTGAAACCACCACACACAAGCTTATGTTTTTCTGCTGGAAATGAACTCATCCTCCACCCTGCAGTCAGTGCCAGCCAGCTGTAGATGTCGACTCTGAGTCACTGGCTTGGCTGACCTTCATTTATCAGCGGGTCTTGACAAGAGCATTATCTTAACATGTCTTATGTGTCTTCTGGGCACTTTCCAAGAGTGAGATATTCCTCAGACCAACTTCCCCAATGTCCGTCCCTCAAACCAACTCACAGTAACCTCTCTGTGTGCACCTTGATTTCCTTTCCCCAGGATTCTTTCCTTACTTGCCCTTCCTCAGTGTTGCAAAGGCGTTCCAACATACTTCATTTCTGTCACACCATGTCCCCTTTGTGTACGTCTTAATCTCCTATACCATTCAAAGGCCTTCCCTCATCCCCACTGGCACCACCATCCTTAACTCAAGAACCATGGTTTTCAACTCTTTAAACCTCAAAACCTTTTCTTCAAACAAAATAACAGGAAAACCCAAAATATCTAACAGAAAAGCAAGAGCTTCCTTGACCTAAGCAGGAGGAGGATCCAAGAAACCTGCCTAGATAATTTATGCTCTATCTGCACTGAAGGGTGTCAGGGGCAGGTGGCTGAGGAGACACGAGAGAATCCCTAGGGCTGAGGAACTCAAATGAACAGTGCCGTTTTAAAACATGCCTTCTCCCCTGTCAGGCTGCCTCCCCTCGCTCTCCCCCACTCCCCTCTTGTCCCATTCTCCATTACTTTTACTTTCATCATTTCCTGCATTTATCCCCTTTTCGCTGTTCTAGTTGCTGCCACCTTCATTCAAGCCACTGTCCTGCAGTGGTTCTGAGTCAGGCACAGGACAGCCCCCCAAGGGGCATTGGAAAGTGTGGGGGGATGTTTTGGTTGTCAAAGGGCATGAGGGGGTGCATTGCTGGCATTCACTGGGCAGTGGCTAAGACCAAGGAATACTAAACACACTGCAATACCTAGGAACCCCACAAAATAAAGAGCTGAGCTGAAAATAATGCCCCTGTTGAAGAAACATTACTGTAAACTGTGAGTTTTCTTAAAGGCAAAGATATGTCTCACTTATTTCATTTATTCATTATTGTTTATTACTTCATTTATTCATTAATTGACCAATATTTATTGAGCACCTACATTGTTCTACATATGTTAGATGCCAAGGCATTAAGGTAAGCATTGAACAGGAGGGTTGTTCTTCCTTCCTGGAGCTTTCTGCCTAGACAGACCTTAAGCAACTATTCACGCAAGCGATCATTTAATCACAGCTGTGTTACATGCTACAAAGGAAAACGTAGTAGGTGTTAACGCAACATAATGTATGGGGGTGGGTAACCTGGTGTAGAAGTTAGTTAAGACCGTATCTCTAGCTCTGTGCATTACACCAAGTAAGCCATCAATAAACCTTTGCTGAGTAAGTGAATGAATGAATGAATGAATACACAGTCCCAGCTGATATTTCCTCAGCTCTTAGTCTCTTCAAGGGAGGCAGAAATGCCATTCGATTCACAGATTTTTTAATCATCCCCCAAAGGGGTTAAAAAAAAAGTAATAAAATGGTTCCTGTCTTTGGGGAGTTGATAATCCAATGGGAGAGGCACTCCCAAATTAGATTCAGATGTAATATTTATTGAGTGCCTGCTGTATGCTAGAAACATTCATTCTAATTGTTTGACTCACCCTTCACAAGAGACCTGAGAGCTGGGTTCATGGGCCGCCCTTAGAAATGGAGTCTCTGTTTGGGCTTCCTTTCTCTTCCAGATCCCTTGAAGCCTAAAGGTTCTTTGGAGAATTAGACTCTTCCAATTCATCACAGGCTGTTAACATACGGGTTTCACCAATATTCCAAGATACATCATTTTGGGTGGCCTTGGGATTTTCCCATCTTCCCAGTTTTTTGAAATTTTGCAAACATTGGAATTGGGCTAGCAGTTCTTCTTCTGACTCTTGGATTTTCTTTCTATTGGAATGATAGCTCCCAAGAGATGGGAAAGGGAAAAATAAGGAATCTAATTTTATGAGACAGACATTCAAACTCTACACACACATACACACATGTACCCCATGTTTCGTTAGTCTACTAATAATCTGTGGAGCTACCACTTTATTTTATTCAAGTGGAAAGACTAATGCCGGAAGGTTCAGCTGAGCACCGTGCTCCTGGAAATTGAGGGCATGTTCCAAGGTCCTGGAAATATTGACTTTTTACTGCCCAAACTGCCAAGTCATTAAAAAGTGTGATGGCATGAGATGCATTGGCTCCATATCGACCAGGGCAGAACCCCCCAATTTTTTAACCCAGCACAGCTGCTTTTATAATAGTCACCACTGCCAGAGAGGTTGCAGAACTCTGATAATTACTGGGAAAGAAATAACACAATATTCTTTGATGAGAAGATTACTTTGAGAATTTGATTGTATAATGAAGATGTTGCTTTGAAAGGTACTTCCTATTGTTCTGGATCTGAGACTCTAGCAAAAAAAAAAAAAGTGTCACTTGTTTTGACAAGCTACTTAGAAAAATTCTCTGTTTATTACATTAACTGCAGCATTTTAACTGTCAAACTATGAAAGAATGTTCTGTAGTTTAAAAAACAGAATAGAGCTTCAAGGGAAATTTTTTGGCACACTCTTGTTGCTATTGGTATTGGAAAAAAAACATACATTTTGAATGTGAAATTAGCTTTTTATGTGGTGGCAGACAGAGTGACTCACAATGCCCATACTGGTTTCGCAGGTGCAGACCTGGATGGCATTTGGGGGCAAGTGCTATAGACCAATGACAGTTTGATAAGGTGCTATTGTTGCAGCCCTGAGACAAGGCCATCAAACACAAAATGACTCTTGGAGCTTATTATTTTGATTTTGTTTTGTTTATAAATCTAAAAACAAGAGGTTACCCTACAGCAAATAGATGTAATGAACACCCTTACCAGTAGACATGTGCACTTTGACTACCTTTGAGCAGATATTTTAGATAGGAAGATAGACGCAAAAAGATGTGGAGTGACCAGGTGAGCAGAATATTATAAATTTGAGGCTAGCTGGGTAAAAAGAGGTTTCAAAAGGACAGAGTCCTCTTGCCAAACAAGCCCTCCAAGCTCTTTTTCCAAGTAAAATGAGACAGATGCTCCACTGTTTAGGATGGTCTATCAGAAAACTAGGCTAAGGTCAGTGGGGTGGGGGGGCAATAAAGTAGATGCTGTTTCCCAAATGTAACTCTAGGTCTGCAATTCTGAAATCCCCTAAAAGTCTAGAAGCTTAAGTAGTTGAGAAAGAGGTAAGTTAGGTGGGCCTGAGCAGAGAAAAAAATGCATATAACATTAAGAGAACTGTTGGCAGGTTGGGGAGTCTTCCAAATGGGTCAGAAACTCAGAAACTTGAGTTCATTTATTTCACGTGATAAACTAATAGTTTGAGTGGCCTTGGTATTTTCCTGTCTTCCCAGTTTTTTGAAATTTTGCAAACATTGGAATTCTTCTTTTGACTCCTAGGTTTTCAGAGATGGGAAGGGGAAAAATAAGGAATCTAATTTTATGAGACAGACATTCAAACTCTACACACACATACACATACATACCCCATTTTTTGTTAGTCTACTAACCTACTATCAATCTATGGAGCTACCACTTTATTTATTAAAGTGGAAAGACTAATGCTGGAAGGTTCAGCTGAGCACCTTGCTTGTGGAAATTGAGGGCGTGTTCCAAGGTCCTGGAAATGTTGACTTTTTACTGTCCAAACTGCCAACTCATTAAGAAATATGGTGGCATGAGATGAATTGGCTCCATATCACACATATGCTATGGGGCATGTGTTTGAAAGGAAACAATTTAATATGGAACAAATGACATGGTAAAATACCCCGATGGGCTGCGGGGGAGGGTTGTTTCCCCTCCGCTGGCTGCGCTGTGCTGGAAGGTCCTGCAGAGGCAGGGTTAAGAACCCCTGCAGCTGTTCCACACACTTGCTCTAGAGGGCACTCGAGGGGCTGTGCATTTTCTCTAAATCAGCAGAACCAGTTTTAATAGGATCTTTATTTGTTCAAACTGTTTCTGAGTGTGTGAAATTGGAAATCCTGATAATTATAAGGGGATTTGTTTCCTCAGGGGATCCCAGATTTGCAAGCCTAAAATCAATGGGGTTCAGGGTTTTGATTTCTGTTGGGATATGCCAAGAGCATGTTCACAGTTATGAAGTCCTTCCTCAAATGTTAATCAGATGAAAAGCATGA